CGCCGAGCGCCGGGCGGGGCCGCACCTGCCCGGAGACAGGCGCGGCAGAGCACGCGGCGCGGATAACCGGGAGACGCGCGGATTCGGGGAGCCCGGACACTACAAGATCGAGAGCATCCCCCTCCCAAGCCAGCCACACACACAGGAGCGTGAGCTGGGAGGGCGCCCCGGCGAGAGTGGCCTGGGCAGGTCTAATGTTGGGGAAAAGTTTTATGCTTTGGAGGGATCGACGTGGCGGGCAGCGGGCTAGGAGAGAGGTTAGCAGTGATGCAGACGTCTTCTAGCTTACCAAGCCCCAGACCTAATCTGAGCCTCAGCCGTGGCGTTACTATGGACGAGGCGGATGTTAGGATCTCCGCTCCACAGGGAGGCGAGCCAGGCTCAGAACGGCGGAGGGAGCTGCACCTACACACTGGATAGAACTGTCTCCAGAGCCGTGATCCATTATTACCAAGGGGCTTTAAATAAAAGCTCCGGGTGAAGCCTGAACTTCCTGCTCCCTGGGTATGTTTCCTGCTGCACTGGCATGAAAATGCCGTCCTCTCCACAGCACTGGAGCCCCACCGGAGAAGGCTCAAGACACAGCGATGCTCTGCTGACCCCTCCTACACCAGATCAGGCTCGGAGCCTGCAGGACACACCTCAGTAACTTCATGCTTTTCTGTACCCATTGGACATTGGACGGGCAGAGCACAGTCAGGGCGCCCACGTGTGGGTACCAGTTTCATCCCCACCCTGTCGCCTTTGCTCAAGTCACTGAATTTCTCGAGGCCTCATTTCTCCACATCTTAAATGAGTGAAGTGCCATTTCGATCAACAAGAAAACTTGGAGTATATGAGATGACCTGTGGAAGTTCTTTGAGGATACAAGTATTGTCTTCCAGGGCCAATGCTGAACAAATAATAGATTAATAAACATATTGTCTGGGCTATGGTAGGCGTGCAGTATCCACCACATCAATAACAATCCCTGGCACAGAGGGGCAGGGAAAAGGAAAACACTTTTTTTTTTTTTTTCTGGAGATGTCTCAAGATAAAGTGTGGGCTAAACTTGTGGTTTAGGGGTGGAGGATGTTTTGGCTTGTTCTGGTATCTGTCAAATGATGGAGGGGCCTCCTCTCTATTCCCAGCCCCACCTTCCCTCCTAACCCAGTAGTATTCCTCCAGCCTCTTTCTGTTCATCATACTAATGCATCCCTCTATTTTAGACTGGTCCGCAACTCCATCCTTTCAAAATGCTCTTACGTCATTTCCATACCACCTTGTGAGGTATATCGTGTAAGTATTAAGATTCCTG